CAAAAAAGAAACCTCTATTATGGATGATATTGGTCGCGAAAGTCTACGTGTTCAACAAACCCGAAGGAATCAGAGGAAAATCGACGTGACCACGAGTGAAGATGCAAACTCCAAATATACAGGCATCAGGGTTGGGGTCAAAAATAAGAATTCCAATATACCAGTTTAACACGTCGGCTTTCGCGAGGGGGTTTGCATCTCGCTCTGGTGCCTCATTATCTGACTCACCCAACCACTAAACTACGAAAGCCACCCACACACTCACTCACCCACTCACTCTGCCACCCACTTAACCGCTAACTCACTCGTTCAAGCACACACTCAGCCACTCAAGAACTTACCTGTGCACCCACCTACACACCCACTCATTAACTCAACGACCCACCCACCAACCAACTCAGTCACTTACTCACTCACTCTAGACTCCACTCACCCACCCGCTCACCCAGCCACTTACCGACTCACCCACCAAACCACCCACGCACTCAATCATCCACCTACCCACTCACCCACTCAATAAACGAAAACTTAACTATTTCTCACTGTACAAGCTAAGGCCCACAGAGCTATATAGATCTTTTTCAAAAGCGACCTTGTTACAAATGACACATAAATCACATATACAGTTATTGCAGCCAAATCCTCTGAATGCAAGTTTATTCTCAATGCAGAGGTAAAACCCCGAGGACCCAGAGAAAAATTCACGTGACCATGGGGAGAACAAGCACACTCCAAATATACAGATGACAGGGTCGGGATCTAATCACGACCACCTGTATACTAACCCATCCCACTCACTCACCGACTCGCCCACCCGTTAATTTGCACCCCCATCTTCTCAACCACTCATCCAGCCACCCAGTCAAGCACCCACCCAGTAACACTCACCCACTCACCCAACCAAAAACCCACTAACCCATCCAGCACTCACTCACCGAGCTAATCAATTTCTAACCCATCAACTTGCTCTGCCACTGACTCTTTCAACCACAACTCACCCACGCACCCGCCCACTCACTCACCCAATCACTAACCCACTCACTTAATTTCTAACCCACCTACTACCCACCTAACCTCCTACCCACACACTCACTCACCCACTCACTCACACACCCCCTCACTCATCCATCCACTCACATACTCACCCAGCCACTCACCTACTCACCCAGTCACATACACATCCACTTACCATGCCACCTACTCCATTTTTAACCCACACACACACCCAACCACTCCCTCAGCTACTCACCCACTAACCACGTCATTATTCACTCACCCACCCATCACTCAACCACCCAATAATTCAACCACCCAATAATGCAAGCACCCATTAACTCAAGCATCCACTACTACCCACGAGCCTCTCACAAGTGCCCACCCACACACTCACCAACACACTACACTGAATCTAAATTATGTTTATTTTACCAGGTAAGGCTGACAGAGCTATATAAAATATTTTTCAGAAGTGACCTGGTTACAAATGATCGGTCAACGAAGTGGCTTATCACGTAATTATTCATTGCACCCAAATAAAAAAAATGCTTGTTGATTTTAAATGTGGAGGGAAATATACAGGCGTCAGGGTTGGGATAAAACACACAACCTTCTGCATACCAGGCGAGGTAGTTAACATCTCGCCACTGTGGCGCCCCACTGTCTGACTTCCCCACCCACTAACCCACACACTCACCCACTCAAACATCCACACACTCACCCACTCAAATACCCACTCACCCACTCAAATACCCACTCACCCACTCAAACACCCACACACTCACCCACTCAAATACCCACACACTCACCCACTCAAATACCCACACACTCGCCCACTCAATCACCCACCCACTCACTCAACTACCGAGCCACTCACACACTCACCCACTCACCATGCCACCAAATCAATCACTAACTCACACTCATGCACCCAGCCACTCACTCACTCAGCCACTCACCTCCGACCCATCAACCCATCCACTCACTAATCTACCCACCTACACACTCACCCACTCATCCACACACTAAACTAATATTAAACAATTTTTTTTATTTTACCAGGTAAGGCCCTCAGCTATATAGATCTTTTTCGGAAGCCACCTCAGCACAAATGACAGCTAAATGAAGTGGCTGTTCACGAATAAAGTTACAGCAACCAGATTCTATAAATGCATTTCAAATATGGAGGGACAACCCGGAGAACCTGGAGAAAATTCCACGCGACCACGGGGAGAATATGCAAACTCCATATATACAGACGGAAGGGCTGGGATAAAATACACAACCTCCTGTATGCTAGGCGAGGTCGTGAACATCTCACCACCTTGGCGCCTTACTCTCTGACTCACCCATCCACTCACTCACACGCTAACTTACCCACTCACCCTCCCACATCAACTTACCCAACCAGCAGTCACTCACCCATTCACTCACCCACCCACTCGCTTACCCCATCCAGTCAACAACTCACCCACTTAATTAACCACTTGCTCACTCACCCTACGACCCCTCACCAAGCTACACACTCACCCACCAACACACCCATTCACTGACTAACTCACCCACCACAAACTCACGAACAAAAAAACATACCCACTCAACCCATCGCTCACCCAACCCCTCACCCACTTACTCAATCACCCACCCACGCACTCACCGACCCAACTCACTTCACCCACCCAACACTCACCGAGCCACTCAATCTCTAACCCACCCACTCACCCAACCACCCACTCAATCTCTAAACCACACACCAACCCTGCTACCGACTCAATCTCTTAACCAAAACTCACAAATCCACCCACCCACTCACCCAGTGACTAACCGACTCACTCCATTTATAACCCACCCACTCATTCACTACCCACCTAACCTCATACCCACACACACTCACTCACCCACACATCCACACCCACACACTCACCCACCCACTCACTCATCCATCCATCTACTAACTAACTCACCCAGCCGTGCACCTACTCACCCACTTTAAGATCCACTCCCCTGCCACCTACTCAATTTATAACCCACCTACTCACCCACCCAACCACCCGCCGACTCCCTCAGCCACTTAGCCACTCACCCACTACCCACGTAATTATTGACCCACCCACTAATTTAATCACCTACTAACGTAACCACCCACTAACTCAATCACTGAGTCACTCGAACTTACCCACTCACCAAGCCACCCACTAAATCTCAAACCCACACTCATGCACTCACCCACCCGCCCACTTACTCACCAACACCCTTAACTAAATCTAAATTATGTTTTTTTGCCAGGTAAGGCACACTGACCTATATAGATTGTTTTGAGAAGCAGGGTTTGGATCGAATCTACGAACTTAAAAATACCAGGCAAGGTAGTTAACAATTTGCCAACATGGCACTCCACTCTCTGACTCTCCCACCCACGATAACACACACTCAAACACCCACCCACTAACTCAACCATCCATTCATTCAACCACCGAGCCAAGCACACACTCACCCACTCACCAAGTCACCCACTCAATCTATAGCCCACACTCACTCACCCAGCCACTGACCTACTACCCATCAAACGTCGCACTCACTCATCCACTCTCCCACTCGGCCACTCATCTGCACACTAAATGAAAATTACGCTTTTTTATTTTACCAGGTAAGGCCCTCAGCTATATAGATATTTCAGAAAGCACCTGACCACAAATAACAGCTCAATTAAGTGGTTTTTCACGTATAAAATTATAGCAGCCAAATTCTATAATTGCATGTTTTAAAATGTGGAGGGAGAACCCGGAGCACCTGGAGAAAATTCCACGTGAACATGGGGAGAACATGCAAATATACAGGTGTCAGGGTCGGGATCGACCTCACGACCTCCTGTAAAAAAGGCGAGGTAGTTAACAGCTCGCCACCACGGCACTCCACCCACTCACTCATTCAAACACCCACCAACCCACTCACAAACCCACTCACCCTGCCACCCACTCAATCTTTAATCCACTCACTCAACAATTTACTCACCCACTCACCTACTCAACTATTCACACCCCCACTCACACACCCACCCATTTTACCCACTCAATCTCTAACCTACCCACCAACGCACTCCACAACCCACCTACCCACCTCACCCACCCAATAAACTAAACAATCTTTTTTATTTTACCAGATAAGGCTCAGAACTATATTAATATTTTTCAAAAGTGACCTGGTTACCTGATTATCACGGAGACATTTATTGCAGCCAAATCCTCTAAATGCATGTTGATCTTAAATCTGGAGAGAAAACCTGGAGGAGCCGGAGAAAAATCCACACGACCACAGGGAGAACATGCCAACTCCAAATATACAGGTGGAAGGGATGGGATCGAATTCACAAACTCCTGTATACTAGGTGAGGTAGTTAACATCTCACCACCGTGGTGCCCCACTCTTTGACTCACCCACCCACCCAATCACACACTAACTCACCTGCTCAACCTTTGATATTCACTCACCCACCCACTAACTGACCCACCCAACAATTTACTCACCCACCCACTAACCTATTCACTCAACTCCTCACTCACCACTCCCCCACACAATCACGCACTGACCTACCCACTAACTCACTCAGTCACTCACTAATTCACCCCTCACTCAACCATCCACCCACTCAAGCTACCATCCACTCACTTACTTATCCAGGCACTCACCTACTCACCCATTAAGCCACTCACCCACACAATCACCTAGTTACCCACCCACTCAATCTCTAACCCACCAATTTACTCATCCACTCACCAACCCACCTCTCAGCCACTCCCTCACCCACTCACTCACTTCAAACTATTCACTCACCCACCCACTAATTCACACAATCACCCACCACCCACTCAATCTCTAACACACTCACTCACCTACTCCCTCAACCACTGACCGACCCACTCACCCACCGACTCACCCATTGACTCACCCACCAACTCACTCACAGACCCACCCAGTTAATCACCCACTCTATGTGTAGTCCTCACCTCTTCCAGTATTGTGATATATTCTTCCTCCCAGCGGTATCTTCACGACAACGCCCTGGGGGGTGGGCAAGCCTCTCAACGAATCGGGCGAGCGGGGCAACAGCCTGGTCATGTTGGGTTCATAGAGCAGTGCGGCACACGCATACACACAAGCAGACCACACACATATGAACACAATAACAACAGTGGGAGCCACTCACGCGATAGGGATGGACCGCATGGTCCACTCCAGCTCGATGTACGGCTTTCCTGGATACAATGTTAACTACCTCGTCTGGTATACAGGAGGTTGTCGGTTAGATCCCAACCCTGACACCTGTATATTTGGAGTTTGCATGTTCTCTCCGTGGTCAAGTGGATTTTTATTCTGGTCCGCTGGATTTTCCCTATACATTAAAAACAGGCGTTTAGAGTGGTTGGCTGCTATACATTTCCACATAAGGCACGTTGTTGACCTATCATTTGTGGCCAGGTCACTTCTAAAAAAAGAGTTATGTTACTCAGTGAGATGGTTGAGACACAGGTGATGAGCCTGTGTGTAAGGGGTTGAGTGAGTGAGTGGTTGAATTAATGATTGAGTGACTGATTGGTTGAGTGAGTGGCTGAGTGAGTGAGTGAATGTGTAGAGGTGTTACGGGAGGGCGAACAAACACACCAGGGGTGGTTAATACCGCACGCGGAAGGATGCTAACATCCATGTCCGCACCGTTTAGCCTGGGGGGCTAAAACGGCGCTGTGATCCCCCACGGCCCCACCCCTCGGTGGGGGAGTTGCTATATAAGGCGGTGAGTCGGTGGGCTGGGGGTTCAGTGTTTAGCTTTAACCAGCGAAGAAAGAAGCCCGGCTAGATAGGCCCTGGGACTCCCCTGGATCGCCGTCCTTCTAAGGACCGACCAGGGCAAGCCAGTGGCGTGGCTCCGAGAGCCCAGAACCGATGTTCTTATAAGAGCCGGTCTGGGGACTCAGGGTGCCGTAATCCCAGCTTGACCAGAGCTGGGTCAGCTAGCCTCCCCTAGCTCTGTAGTGGAGGACCTGGGAGTAGGCTAGCCGGGACAGAGATTGTGGGATCTCCCTGTTAGGCGGGTGAAGGGGCCGATACCCCTTCGAGTGTCGTATACCTTGGCCTGTATATAGTGGAACGTTTAATAAATAAGTGTGCCTCCGACTACGTCGTCCAAGTCTCTTTGAACCTACTACAAATGGTTGAGTGAGTGGCTGAATGAGTGGTTGATGGAGCGATTGGTTCATTGAGAGAGCGGGTGGTTGAGTGAGCGAGTGAGTGGTTCAGTGAGTGAGTGGTTGAGTGAATTAGTGAGTAGTTGAATGAGTATTTGAATGAGTGAGTGTTTGAACCAATGAGTGAGTGTTTGAGCGCATGAGTGTGTGGTTGAGTGAGTGGTTGAGTTAATGACTGAGTGAGTGATTGATTGAGTGGTTGAGTGAGTGAATGGTTGACTGAATGGTTGAGTGAGTGGTTGAGTGAGTGAGTAGTTGAGTGAGTGGTTTAAGTTAGTGGGTGAGTAAGTGAGTGGCTATATGAGTGGCTGAGTGAGTGAGTGAGCGAGTGGATGAGTGAGTGAGTGGTTTAAGTTAGTGGTTGAGTAAGTGAGTGGCTGTATGAGTGGCTGAGTGAGTGAGTGAGCGAGTGGATGAGTGAGTGGCTGGCGCGCACCTTGGCTGCGTTGTCCAGAGTGTCCCGCTGGTGCCGCCCCACTGTGTTGCTGCACTCCGCCAGGGTGAGAGCGGCGGTGCCGCGCCCGCAGCTGCTCCAGCGACTACGCCATCTTGCCCAGCCCCTCCTGGCGAGCACGCAGCATGCCCTGGAGCCCTCATCACATGGTGCTGGCAATCTGAGACACCCGCCTGTAGCACACACACAGAAGAAGAGATACGGAAATGGATTAGGGCGACCCGGGTGACGAGAAGTTCACTACTTCACCCGGTATACAGGAGGTTGTAGGTTTGATCCAAACCCTGATGCTTACAAATTCAATTCTGCTCGTCCAGGTGGAAAGAATCCAATCGCATTTATTCGATGCGATGTTTCTCATGGGATATAATAAGCGACAACATTTGGACCCCAAACCGAGAGGATTCTGGGATGTTTGTGGTTTTTTGGCAACAACTCTGAAAGGAAACGTCACAGACCCATCAAGGTGGTACTCGTCCAGCAACATAATGGTTGAATGAATTCGGGAATGGTTGAATGAGTGAGTGGTTGAGTGAGTGGTTCAGTCAGTTAGTGGTTGAGGGAGTGAGTGGCTGAGTGAGCGAGTGGTTGAGTGGGTGAAAGAGTGATGGTTGAGTGGTTGAGTAAGTGATTAAGTGAGTGAGTGGTTGAGTAAGTAAGTAGCTTCGTGAGTAAGTAGCTTCGTGAGTGCGCGGCTGAGTGGTTGAGTGTGTGGCTGAGTGGCTAAATGAGTGAGTGGCTGAGTGAAAGGGTGAGTGGCTGAGTGAAGGAGTGAGTGGCTGAGTGAGTGAGAAAGTAATTGGTTGAGTGGTTGAGTAAGTCATTAAGTGAGTGAGTGGTTGAGCTAGTGAGTGGTTAAGTGAGTGGTTAAGTGAGTGGTTAAGTGAGTGGTTAAGTGAGTCGTTGAGTGAGTGGTTGAGTGAAAGGTTGAGTGAGGGGTTGAGTGAGTGAGTGAGTGGTAGAGTTAGTCGTTGAGCGAGTGGTTGGGTGAGGGGTTGAATGAAAGGTTGAGTGAGTACTTGAGTGAGTGCTTGAATGAGTGGTTAAATGAGTCTTTGAGTGAGTGGTTGAGTGGTTGAGTGAGCGAGTGCTTGAGTGAGCAAGTGAGTGGTTGAGTGAGCAAGCGAGTGGTTGAGTGAGTGAATGGTTGAGTGAGCGAGCGGTTGAATGAGCGAGTGGCTTAGTGAGCGAGTGGTTGAGTGATTGAGTGAGTGAGTGAATGGTTGAGTGAGAGGGTGATGGTTGAGTGATTGAGTGGGTGGTTGAATGATTGGTTGAGTGGTTGAGTTAATTATTGAGTGAGTGAGTGGTTTAGTGAGTGAATATCTGAGTGAGTGAGCGGCTGAGTAGTTGAGTGAGTCGTTGAGTGAGTGTGTGGCTGAGTGAGTTTGTGGCTGAGTGAGTGAATGGCTGAATGAATCACAGCTATGATAAAAATGGACATCAGAATATAAGTGGTCTTGTATTCACTCAGTAAATAAAGTTTAATATAAAATTGTACACTCACAGAATCGAGATAAAGATGACATTGCACATCGGAGTAAACTGAGTCCTGGCTATGATTAAATTTAGCATTAGCATAACATTGATTTATTAGCATACAAAATGACTTTTTGCAGAGCGATTTAATACAAAAGTCTGATAGACTACATGCATTTTTTTTGATAAAAAGTACATACAAACCAGGCATCAATACCGTTGCTTTGTATGATCTGTGAAACGCAGAAAATGTCAGATAAAATCGGACATTTTGAGCTTGCTGCTGTATCGACTGAGTGGAATCAATACAATTAGTATCGATTCACAATCAACAAAGACCATATATGGGAAAATCTCTGATCGGTGATTTTGATTGCATCGTATTGCAGCGCCCCTTTGGTGATGTTATAAAGCACTTGCCCCAACAGTCTGTTAAAGGCTACACGTGGATCTTTGTGTGCGAGTAGCTCACAGATCCTTGAGAGATCTGAACACTGTCCGATCATCAGCGAGCTCCTCCGGCAGGCGAGGCTGCGTTGGCGGTTGTCTGTGCATTCAGAGGTGTTAACTATCCCACGCAGAGAAGTCTGCTTACAGGACATAAGAGGTTCTTCACGTACCGTGCCCCGTGTCACCTGAATGTTAAATGGGGCTCCGGTAATTCAGTGTCCACCGCCGAATCATCTTTCACCATCACCACGCGTCCATTAAGGCCAATGTGACGAGGCCATAGATAGACAACGCGTTAAAACGGGGGGGGGGGGGGGGAGCAAGAAAAACGTCGTACTACGTAACATCACAATACCCTGCACACAGCCATAGTGGCTGATTAGGGTGCACATCATTTACGAATATGTGGTTTAAGTGGTTGAGAGTAGATTTTGGTGTAAATTGATCACGATGCTTTGCGTAGCCTGTGTGGGTGCGTGAACAGATATGAGTGGGTGAGTGCGTGATTAAGCCGGTAAGTGAGTATGTGGGTGGATGGAGGGAGCTGGGCGGGCACGGCATGGGCTGGAGTGGAGGTGGACTGATGGGGTACGGGAGGATGTGGAGCTGAGTGGGCTTTGCAGACGACTGGTACCAGTGGTGTTGAGATCGGCCTCTGCAGGGAGGCTCGTGAAGGATGCTTCTACTTGGCAGTTGGCGACACTCGCCCTCCAACAACAACGGAGGAGTGACGCTCACAACAACGAGCGGAACACCGGATGATAAATATGCAGCAATTTGGCACAGTACGGGGTACAGGTGGTGCTGCCAGTCATCTCAGTCAGCCAACCCATGGCACCTGGGTCTGTTCCAGGACCTCCGGTCAGCGAGCCTTCGACACTTCACGTGGCTTCAAAGTGCACCGGGCCTGGCACAGTCGCTGTGGTGATGTCACTGTTACTTATTGGCGAATGGTGACGGTTGATAATGCAGCGGTGTTTCGGCCACAACGCAAGCAGCCGTCCTCAGGTGAAAACCAGGTCCGTCGAGGCGACAGAGTCTGAATGAAACAGCACACGAGCTTGGAGCATATATATAAGCTGGGCGCATTGACAAAGGAATTTGCATATCAAAAGGAATTTAGCATATTTATGGGAAATGCAGGAATGTGATTAGTACTGCATATGCATGTGCATTATGCAGGATTAACAGCATCAAAGGGAGCTGCAGTTACTGCTGCTGCAGGAGTTGCTGCTGCTGCTGCAGTTTCTGCTGCTGCTGCAGTTGCTGCTGCAGCAACTGCAGCAGCAGCAGAAACTGCAGCAGCAGCAACTGCTGCAGCAGCAGTAACTGCAGCTCCCTTTGATGCTGTTAATCCTGCATAATGCACATGCATATGCAGTACTAATCACATTCCTGCATTTCCCATAAATATGCTAAATTCCTTTTGATATGCAAATTCCTTTGTCAATGCGCCCAGCTTATATATATGCTCCAAGCTCGTGTGCTGTTTCATTCAGACTCTGTCGCCTCGACGGACCTGGTTTTCACCTGAGGACGGCTGCTTGCGTTGTGGCCGAAACGTCGTGAGAATTGTTTTATTATGTTTTATTTTTATTATTTTATTACTTCCCTTCTACGTGACTTTACCGAAAGAACCAAGAAGATGAATCCCTGCAGTCACGAAAGCTTTAAATCGAAATTTAATGCAGCGGTGGTTGTGAGAAATGCCATTTTGGGGGGGGGGGGGGGGCGCCAACCCTGACCAGCTGTGAACCTCACGTCGCCCGCAGCCACCAGTGGCCACAGGGAGTTCTGGATGGGTGCGAGGGGCTGGTAACCCCCCTCCACCTTCAACTAAATCACCACACATTCACGTGTGAGTCGATGGATCTCTGTGTGGTGAGTCTATGGGTCTCTGTGAGGTGAGTCTATGGGTCTCTGTGAAAGTCCGTGGGTCTCTATGAGGTGAGTCTATGTGTCTGTGTGGTGAGTCTATGTGTCTCTGTTTTGTGAGTCTATAGGGCTCTGTGCGAGTCTGTTTGAGTCGGTGGTTCTCTGTGTGATGAGTCTATGCGTTTTTGTATAACTCTATAGGTCTCTGTGGGGTGAGTCTATGGGTCTCTGTGGGGTGAGTCTATGCGTCTCTGTGGTGAATCTATGGGGCTGTGTGGTGAGTCTATGGGGCTCTGTGGTGAGTCCATGTGTTTGTGTGGTGAGTCTATAGACCTCTGTGCGAGTCTGAGGGTCTGTGCGTAGTGAGTGTATAGGTCTATGTGTGATGACTCTCTGGGTCTCTATGTGATGGATATCTGTGGTGTACATATCCTGGCACAAGCGCCGTTAGTGGAGAATGCTCCTCCCACTACCCCTGCTTGTTGTTGTGCTCGGGAAGGAGAGATAAAACTAGACTACAATCTCAACGATTTTCATTTCACCAGGTAAGGTCCACTGAGATAAACATCTCTTTTATTATGCGCTTTTATTTAACTCACTCTGTTGTTGTTGTTGTCGTATCCTCAAATCTTGCAACTCAATTTTAACCCACTTCCCAATGTGGTATCGACTACAAACTTGGTATACTTATGTCATACTGATGACAAAACTACATTCTATAAAAAAGGATTTTTAAACATTCATTTTTATGTTGTTTCAGCTTGGGTCTAATTGTCCAAGCTCAACTGACGTTGGCTGTAAATCACCACGGCCCCTTACGTTATGGCAAGCATCGGGGCCACTTCCTGGAGTCGTGATACATTTAATTTAATTAAAGCGTGTTTAAAAAAAAAAGTACTTTTAAATATTACTTATTCAGAAGCGACTTGGCACCAATAATAGCTCAACGAAGTGGCTCATCATCACGTGTAAATTATAGCAGCCAAATACTTTAAACGAATATTCATATTCTTGGTTCTTTCGGTAAAGTCACGTAAAAAACCAAAAAATTAGTAATGCAAATAAAATAAATATAATAAATTGCTTTTATTATTTTCAATTCATCTTATTCTTTTTACTTAAAAAAATAGATTTTTTTTCTTTCTACTTACGTGACTTGACCGAAAGAACCAAGAATATGAATTCCTGCAGTCACGAAAGTTTTAAGTCAAAACTTTAAACGAATGTTTCTTAATGTGGAGAGAAAAACCGGAGGACCCAGAGAAAAATCAACGCGACCACGGGGAGAGACGGAGACACGCAAACTCCAAATATACAGCAGGCATCAGGGTCGGGATCGAACCTACAAACTCCTGTATACCAGGCGAGGTAGTTAGGGGGGAAAGCAGAGACAGCGAGAGGGAAGATAATTAGTCAAACTCAGACTCAGTATTACTCAACAACCATGATACTCACCATCACACTCACCATCACACTCACCATCATACTCACCATCATACTCACCATCATACTCACGCATTCACCATCATATTCACACACAATCCCACACACATTAACAGTCGCCATTCACCACTACGTGGCGGTGACGTCACCACAATAACCCAGGTGCCATGGATTGACGGCTGTGCCAGGCTAAGTGCAGGAGGAGGTCACGGGCCAGACTCAGGTGCCATGGGCCGACTGCTCTGCCTGGCTCGGTACAAGAGGAGGGCTAGACCCTGGTGCTATGGGTTAACTCGTGTGCCACCACCTGCACAGCCACCACAGTAACAACCACACAACTATAATCACAACAATAACCACGACCAACAACTGTAACCACAACTATAATGTAACCACAACTATAACTTAACCACAACTATAATGTAACCACAACTATAATGTAACCACAACTATAATGTAACCACAACTATAATGTAACCACAACAGCAGCAGGGCCGAGCTCTGCTTGAAGCTGCGCCGCGAACTCCGCAGAACGTGACGGCTGTGGGCCAGGCGCCTCCTCTGTCTCCTCCCACCGCCGCCGCCACTGCTGATGTGGACACACCGCGCGAGGTTCTCACCTTCAGGCTGAGTCGACGTAGAGGAGGCCCAGCGAGCCGCCGCTTCAGAAGTTTTCGCTCGACAATGACGGTGGCCGTGAGCGGGAATCAAAATCTGCCGCTCGCCACCCACAATGCACAGCGCGCGCCGCCTCCACTCGACCCCAGCAGAAGAAGCAGCGGGGGGAGGGGGGAGGGGCATGGGGGTTAGGGGGGAGGGGCATGGGGGGTGAGGGGGGAGGGGCATGGGGGGTTAGGGGGGAGGGGCATGGGGGGTTAGGGGGGAGGGGCATGGGGCATGGGGGGTGAGGGGGGAGGGGCATGGGGGGTTAGGGGGGGCAGGGGTAGGGGGAGGGGCATGGGGGTTGGGGGGAGGGGCATGGGGGGTGAGGGGGGTGGGGCATGGGGGGGAGGGGGGTGGGGCATGGGGGGTGAGGGGGTGGGCATGGGGGTGAGGGAGGGGAGGGGGGGGGGAGGGGGTGGGGCATGGGGGGTGAGGGGGTGGGGCATGGGGGGTGAGGGGGAGGGGCATGGGGGGTGAGGGGGAGGGCATGGGGGTGAGGGTGGGGCATGGGGTGAGGGGGTGGGGATGGGGGGTGAGGGGGGAGGGGCATGGGGGGAGGAGCTCATGGCTGTGACATCACGGGGGGGGGCGTGGTTACCTTGTACCGCCCCCGCGTCTCGCGCCACTGGCAGTTTGGCCGTTAGAGATGTCTACGTAGTTTATACTTTAGTTGTTTACGTGGTGGTTTAGTTACTGCAGCTACATACTATTAACATTCCTTTATTAATGCCACCCCTATCCCCTCCCTTGGATGCTGCTAATCCTGCATAATGCACGGGTATAATGACTTTAAACCCCCCGCCCACCTCCTCCGCATTTCACAAGTAGTACTAATCACATACCTGCATTTCCCATAAATATGCTAAATTCCTCTTGATATGCAAATTATTTTGTCAAGGCGCCCTTCCCCCCTTCCAACCCAGTTTAAATATACGCTCCAAGCGTGGTGGTGTTTCATTCCTACCCACACACTCACTCATCCACAAACCCACTCACCCCCTCACTCATCCATCCACTCACATACTCACCCAGCCACTCACCTACTCACCCAGTCACATCCACATCCACTCACCATGCTACCCACTCAATTTCTAACCCACCCACTCGCCCAACCACTCGGCCACTCCCTCAGCAACTCACCCACTAACCACGTAATTATTCACCCACCCACCCATCACTCAACCACCCAATAATTCAACCACCAAAACATTCAACCACCCACGAACTCAACCACCGAGCCACTCACACTCACCCACTCAACTACTGAGCCATTCATACACTGAACCACTCACTAAGCCACCCACTCAATCACTAACCCACACTCATGCACCCAGCCACTCACTCAGCGACTCACCTATGACGCATCAACCGATCCACTCACTCATCCACCCACGCACCCACTCACGCACGCACCCACTCATCCACACATGCACGCACCCACTCATCCACACAATAAACGAATATTTAATTGTTTTTCATTTTACTGTAGAGGCTCACTGATTGGCCCAGTTTCGGCTCAGGTCCGACCCTCAGCCACACGAGCCTGGCCTTCACAAGGACACAGACCTTGCTGCTCTGAGGTCGCCCCTGGCTTGCCCTGCTCGGCTCTTATAAGAGCAGCGAGTCAGGGTAGTCCCAGGGCTAGCTCGCTGGTCTTCAGTCGTCACTGGCTCTTCTGCTCCAACGACTGCCTCGAGCTCTCTCACGCACCACCTTATATAGCCAACTGCCCCCCGAGGGGCGGGGCTGTATGCGGACGTTGATGTAGACACCCCACGCACGGACCGTGATGTAGACACCGCAACGTAATGGCTTGCTACACCCCGGTACGTAACACCTCTACATCTCGATTTAAAGCTTTCGTAACTGCAGGGATTCATCTTCTTGGTTCTTTCGGTAAAGTCACATAGAAGGGAAGTAATAAAATAATGAAAAAATAAACATAATTAAATAATTCTCACGACGTTTCGGCCACAACGCAAGCAGCTGTCCTCAGGTGAAAACCAGGTCTGTCGAGGCGACAGCGTCTGAATGAAACACCACACGAGCTTGGAGCATATATATAAGCTGGGCGCCTTGACAAAGGAATTTGCATATCAAGAGGAATTTAGCATTTCCATGGGAAATGCAGGAATGTGATTAGTACTACATATGCCTGTGCATTATGCAGGATTAGCAGTATCAAAGGGAGAGGATATGGGAAATGCAGGTATGTGAATAGTACTAATTCAGCATCAAATGGAGGGGATAGGGGTAGCATTAATAAAGGGAAGGAGTGTTAACAGTATGTAGCTGCAACAACTAAAACCAACACGTAAACAACTAAAGTATTTAACCACATAGTATCATCAGTATACTTACTATACTCTACAATAAGCTGAGTTACTAACAGTAATACATTACAATTCTACGTCGTAAAAATGATATAATATGCTTCCATCTCAACTTTATTATCTTACATCACACGAGTCTACACCGTACTTTATACTGCCATAGACAAACCCAACATTAAATTATATACTGTCTCTGTGTTTGTATATGTGGATCGCCTCATGAATGACAATTTCAACCGAGAAGATGGATTCGGGCTTAGCAATCATTGGAAGGACGTAATAAACCATTTCGGATCTTAACTGATTGTGTTCACGTTTACGGTAACTTTCAGCGGCTGCTGCTTCAGCTGAGCGCTGCAGCAGCCCCCCCCCCCCACCCCCGGACCCCTCCCCCCACCCC